GGGGGGGGAGTTTTCTGCACCCCCACCCCCATCTTCACTGGAGAAGTGAGCCAAAGCAATGCAAAGAGGAAACCTAATCCTTTCTGCCCCAGAAGAGTTGTGCAATGGGGACTAGGAATTTTGGGGGTGCAGTACACTGACTGGAGTTGTAGTCACCTCACAGCTACCACATGGAAGTGGAGATCAATGCTCCACAGCTTTCCAGTGAGCAATGAAGGGCTCCTTGTATCACAGAAGGACTGACACTAGTAGCTCCCCAAGGCTTAGTGAACCCAAGAAGCAACACAGGACCCTCCAATGTTGGCCCTCCTGTCCAGCCTGTTGCTGAGAGGCAGGTATAGGGGTGCAGGTCCCTGGAACTAACTGGGTGAGCCCCCAAGTTCCAGACTGCCTGGGCAAGGGCAAGTCTCCTCAAAAGGGTGCAAACTATAGACAATACCTTGTAGTTAAGAGTATTTAAACTGTTTGGTCGTTTCCTTTGTTTTCTTGCCTTTATTTTCTGTAATAAAGCTCTCCTTTTGTATTTACATTGCTTGTAAAGAGAGGGGGTTTTGTGTATGGGCTACACCCATGCCAAGTTCAGTAATCCCAGATTTCTGGGTGGGGATGCAAGCCACAGTGAAAACGTATTGGGTACCTGTAACAAAGCAGGGTCCCAGGGGTGGCCATGACACCCCTTGGTGGCTCCATGACTGTGCCCTGCTCTTCCACCAAGGTGTCCCCTCTGGCTTGCTATGCCTTGATGGAAATAAAATATGGAGGCTGTCCACGGATCTTCGCTGGGCCTCAGTCCCACTGGTCCCAGGCCCATGGCTGGGCCTCTAGTCTCAAGCCCCTGGCTAGGCCTCTGTAATCAGCTGTGCCCAGCCAGGCATCCAGAGCCTTATGGGCTAATTGCATGGCACCAAAACCTCCCCTTTACCATGCCCCATGCCTTGTGGGTATTACTGGTATGTTGTCCCTCTAGGAGCTTCGACCTCCTCGGCCTCTGCCCCTTTAATCGAATCTAGCTAGGCCTTCTAGCCTAGGCCCACTGGGTTGGACCTGGCTTCAAGGTACTAGTTTCCCTTGTCCTTTCCAGGGGCCGGGCTCTGGCCCATCTGTGGCTGTGCCCCTGCTGGCACTAATGAGGCCGCTTCATCCTGGTCCAACGTAAACGCAAGCCCTTCAGTTATAATATAAATAACAATATGTAGCAGCTTTCCACCCCTTCAAAAGTACAAACCTTTGCTAACCCAGCATCCTGGGCCCCCCTAGGCAGGAGCTGTTTCCCTTGTAGCAGCCAGGGAGAGACTCCCTTGCCAGCTCCAGCCTTGGGCTTATGATCCCTGAGCCCTACCTGCATCCAGTCTGCTGATCACCTGCAGGTGCTGGTTAATTATCCCCATTGCCCCAGTAACTGGCAACTGCAACCCCCTTCCTGCTTGCAGAGTTCCCTGGCTGGGCCTTTGCAGTGGGGGCCAAGAAAACTGCTGAGCTGTAGGAATCTGGCAGCAACAGCGAAAGTCCCATGCCACCGAGCTTGCTGGCAGTGCCACCGGAAGCTGAACCATGGGAGCATGGTGGTGACAGGATTGCTTCGCCACCAGCAATGTCAGCGACCCCACAGCATGCAGAGCCACAGGAAGGAGGCGGCAGGGGCAAAATGGCCGTGCTGGCAACAGCCCAGCCCCCTCAGACCTGGGGAGCAGGGCAGGTTTGCTGCCCCACAAAACTTAATGACAACCCAGCAGCGTCCCACACCACAGCCAGCAGGATCCTGGAGACGAGATGAAGAAAAAAAGCCAGTATTGGTGTGGACGTGCTTTGTAAGTGCATGCCAACACCAATTCGCTGCCCAGAGCAGCAAGGCACTGAAAAACGCCCCATGTGCTGATCCAATGACAGGACCGGAAGGAAGTCCCTGACAGCCTAGGGCAGGCTGCAGGATGAGTGGAGAGATAAAGACTGGTGGTGGCGATCCCCGTGTGGGGAGCTGCTCCCACACACTGACTTGGTGGAGTCAATTGATGTGTCAGAGGAGGGACCCCACCTGGGAGCCCTACTATGGAGATGGCCAAGGAGGACAACAATAGACCTACAAGGAAGAATGAGGACGTTGGCTGACAACAACACTGTGTCCTTGCAACACAAAAGTAACAGGTTGGTGCTAGGGTATAGGGGAGGTGGAGCCCCAAGATCCTCACACTACCAAGCAACTGTAGCTAGACACCACTGAATTGGGAGTAATAGCAGTCCCCAAGATTAACATTTCCATCGAAGACATGGAAGGAAAAAAGCTTCAGTGGGTTAGGTAACTGGTGTTGGGGCAAACTGTCGGTCCACAGGACTGCAGTTGGCTTGGGGCAACTAGAGAAGCCTAGGTGGGGAGCTCCGGACAGGCACGCCAAGTTACAGCTGCTTCTTTTAATAACAGAGAGTCCTGCGGGCTCTGTTATAGTACCCTAAAATTTGAATCTGGCCTTTGTTGCTGCCAACCAGTACCCAGCAAAAGGGTTTACATGTGTGGGCTCTAAGGATGAAAATTTGGGACCCCTGGGTTGGGGCTCAGGCATAGGAAAGTCCTTCATTGCACTGAGGCAGCTTGAGCTGGGGCAAAAAAAACTCTGCCTTGCTGAGGCTTGAACTCTAGCCTGTTACAGAAGGAGACTGATATGCTGGCCTCTGTGCTAACAGCAGAGCAGGGTAGGCTGGCCATCAGGCCCAAGTGAATATTCAAGTTGAGGTAAGGGTCAAGATTAAAGTGATCTGTAAGTAGGCTCAGGCCAACCAAGGCTTGATGGCAGAGATGATACAAGCACTAATGCAGATAGACTAGGCATTGAGAATGCTGCTGCAGCAAAGTATGGGGACCTAGCAAGGCTGGATAAAAGTGCAGGAGAGACTGTTGGATAATGTATCTACACTGGGGCTTGAGAAACAGGGCAACAAAAATGGGGATATGGTGAACTTAGAGGCAGAAGCCCTTGTGGAACTGAGGTGCCAGTTACTTAAGTCAGAACTGTTTTCAGGTGAGGTGACAGAACAGACATATTGCCTACAGTGGGAACTTGCAGTCGAGCACTACAACTGGAACAGGCTGAGGCTAGAGTAACATCTCTGCAACAGCATCTGCAAGCAGGGGAGAAGGAGGTTAAAAACAAAAAACTGAGGCATTTGACTGCTACAGAACCCAAAAGGAATATGGACTTGAAGGAAATGATTGCAGCTGAGGCCAACAAAGTAAAAAGCAAGAAGAGAAGTTATTGGTGCTCCAGAAAGAGGTTGCTGATGCTGCGTCCTGCATGGCTGAAAAGAGCTCTATCACAAAAACAGAGGGGCTTAAGGGCTCAAAGGGCAAGGAGAATATAGAGGCACCCAGAAAAGCCCAGAAAAAGCAGCTAAGAGCTCGAGACAAGTACCAAGAAGAGCTCTGTCAAGAGGCAACACACTGGTAGGAAAAATGTACCCAGAGCAAACAGCTGTTGGTCCTACTGCACAAGGAGTTTGCTAGTAAGTACCCAGGCCCTAGCAGACAAAGTGTTGGATTTTGTTCTCACAACTCTCACTCAGTCGCCACATACCCATGTAGCCTGGGTGTATGCTAGGCCTCTCCAACTGAAGGGGATTGTTAACTAGCCATGCTGTGGATGAAACTGCAGATTCCCTCTGTCCCAAAGAAACCAGGCAAATACAATCTAGAACTTAACTATATACAAAATGTATTATTAGTTACATAAATAGATAAAGATAACATAAATGTAACATACCTTTAGCTTTATATATATTCAGACATATAATAAACTATAAACCATATTCTCTATAATGGATTACCACCACTGGGGTTTCAGGTAAGTGACAGGTAAACACAGGTAAGTAATAGCAAAGGGGGTCCCAGCAGATTCCCCAAGCAGGGTTATGGACTCTATTAAACTGCTAATACACAAATATAGAGGTACACTAAATATAAGGCACAATATTACATAATATAATAAAAATATCAAAATTAATACATATTTACATCTCTATAAATAAAATGCACAATTCTTACGTTTCCCAGTACTGTGGCCTGGAAACAGCTATCTAGCACCCACTAGGGGCCAGAAAAGTTTCTGTGGCCCTGGAAATGGCTCTGTAGCATCCCAAGGTGGCCAAAAATGGTAAGGCAACCTGAACTGGCTCCCAGTGCCCCCTAGGGGCTGAAAATGATATTGCAACACCAAAAAGGGCTCGCTAAACTCCCTGGTGGCCAAACGTTGTACTGTGGCCAGGGGGTGGCTCTCTATTGCTCCCTTTGGCCAAAGATGGTATTGCAGCCCAAAAATGATCCTTTATCGCCCCCTGGTGTCCA